CTTTTATGAGTAATATGTCCTTCTCCACAAGTTGGCCTCTCCTGATAACGGGCCCAAAGTATTTAAACAAAGCACGCGCACGTGCACACACACACACACACACACACACACACACACACACTTGCTTCTAAGGAATTTCATTTTTTGGGCTTGGATCATTTCTGGTATTGCTAGTTTTCAAAAATCAGAGCACAAAAAATACTGGCAAGACTATGGATAAACCTGGAACTTTCATACAGTAATGGAAGGATTATAAAATTAAAAAACCACTATGGAAGACAGTATGATGATTCCTTTAAAAGTAAAAATAACCCTGGCCAAAAGAATCAAACAGTATATTAAAAAAATAATTCATCATAACCAAGTGGGATTCATAACAGGTATGCAAGGATGGTTCAACATAAGAAAGCTAACTAATGTAACTCATCACATTAACAAAGCAAAGAACAAGAACTACATGATCCTATCAATTGATGCATAAAAGGCCTTTGACAACATCCAACACCTCTTCCTGAAGAAAACACTCAAAAAAATAGGAATAGAGGATAATTTCCACAATACAGTGTAAAGTATACATGGGGGAAAGAGCCTACCAACAACGTTCTCAATAGAAAGAAATTAAAAGCATTCCCCTTAAGAACAGAAACTAGGCAAGAATGGCCACAACCAGCACTCCTATTCAATACTGTCATGGAAGGCTTAGTGAGAGCCATAAGCCAAGAGAAAGAAATAAGGGGCATCCAAATTGGCAAATAGGAGGTAAAATTATCTTTATATGCAGGTGATATAATAAGATCCTAGTGGTAAGAAGCTGTACTGCAATCCCAAAGGCATAAGGTTCAAATCCACTCGATGCTCTGTGGGAGAAAGATAGGCAATCTCTTCCCGTGCAATTAACTGCCTTTGAAAACCTACTGCAGGGTTGGCTATGGGTCAGTTCCAACTTGATGGTACACAACAACATAACAGATTCTGCAAGAAAAATATTAGACAGTCAACCAGTTCAGTGCAAAGTAGCAGGATATAAGACAAACATACAAAAATCTGTTTGACTGCTCTACAGTAACAAAGATAATATAGAAAAGTAACTAATAAAAATAATGCCAATTACAATAGCTAATCACAAGATGAAATATTTAGAAATAAAACTAGAGACACAAAAGACTTACATAAAGAAAAATTACAAAACACAATTACAAGAAACAAAGACTTAGAGAAATGAAAAACATTCCATGATCATGGATATTGTTATATGCCACTGAGTCGACTGCAACTCATAGCAACCCTATAAAAAATGGCTCTGAACTCTGCCCTATCCTGAGCCAACTTCACCATCACTGACACACCTGTCTCCATTGCAAGAGTCATTGTGTTAATTCATCTCAAACAGGGTCTTCCTCTCCTGTGCAGACCCTCTACCCTTTCAAGCATGATATCCTTCTTCAAGAACTGGTCCTATCTGGCAATATGCCTCAATTATGTGAGATAGAACTTAAAAATCCTTGCCTCCAAGGAGCAACCTGGTTTCACCCTCTCTAGGACAGACCTGTTTGTTCTCCTGGCAACCCATGATATAGTATATGTTTAATTCTTTTATCCAGCACCACAATTCAAAGGCGTTGATTTTTCTTCTGTGATTCTTAGATGTCATACAGCAGGCAACTGAGAAGACCATGGCCTGTATCAGGTGCACCTTAGTCTCTAGACTGATGTTATTACATCTGAGAGCTCTGGAGAGGTCTTTGACAACAGATTTTCCCAATGCAACTCATCTTTTGCTCTCCTGGATGCTGGTGCCAAGAGTGTAGATTATGGACATGAGCAACATGAAATTGTTAACAATCTCAATCTTTTTTCCATCTATCATGATAGTACTTATTTGCCTGGTAGTGAGAATCTTTGTTTTCTTGTTGTTGAGTTGCAATTCATATTGAAGGGTATCATCTGCATGACACAAATTGTTGATTAAGTCTTCCTCCAATCCTGATGCCATATTCTTCTTCAAAAAAAGTCCAGCCTCCTGAATGATCTGTTCTGCATAGAGTTTGGAAAGATATGGAAAAAAGATACAATGCTGATACACTCCTTTCTTGATTTTGAACCATGCAGCATTCCTTTTCTCTATTCTGAAAACAGCTTCCTGGTTTTGCATGAACACAATCAAGTGTTCTATGATTCTCAATTATTCTCAGTGTTACAATTTGTTGCTCATGAATAAGAAGACTCAATATTGTAAAAATGATAATTCTAACCAAAAGCAATCTAGAAGTCCAATGCAATCCTAAAAGATATCAACTCCATCCTTCAGTGAGATAGAAAAGACAATTCTAGTTTTATCTGGAATGTAAACAGACTCTGAGTAAGTGAAAGAAGCATTATACTTCCTGATCTCAAGTCCTATCACACAGCCATGGTGGTCAAGACAGTCTGATGATACAGTGACAGACACATAGAACCAGGTGAAAAGAATCAAGAACCAAGAAGTCAACACACTATTGGTCAATTTATTTTCACAAGGAGTCAATATCAGCTAAAGGAAGAGATAACAGCCTCTTAAATAGTGCTGGCAAAATCAGAAAACTGAGGCAAGATTCACATATCATTATATAAAACAAACGAACAAATCAACCACCTACCTCAAAGTGGATCAGCAACCTAGGAGTAAAACCAAAGGTTATAAAATTCATCAGAGAAAAGCTAGGAACAACTTTAGAAGCCCTAATCTACAGCATGGACAAACTTTGAAGCATAACAAAATACCTACAACCAGGAGATGATAAAATTGTTGAATGGGACATTCAACTCTCTATGCACATCTAAAAACTTCTCCAACAGGGTAAAAAGCAAACTCACAGACTGGGAAAAGCATTTGGCAATAACATATCTTATAAAGACTCTTAACTAAACTTTATAGAATCCTCTAGCACTTACACAAGAAAAAGGCAACCAACCCAATCACAAAATGTGCATGAGAAGGGAACTCTTGTGGCCTAGTGGCCATAAATTGCACTGCAATCCTGAAGGCGTACAGTTCAAATCCACCAGATGCTCAGCTGGAGGAGGGGCAATCTCCTCCTGTGCCAGTTGGATCTGATTAAAGGAAAAAGAAAAAAATGTGCACAAGATTGGAACAGACATTACAGCAAAGAAAAAATTCAGATGACAGATAAAGAAATGTTGAAAAGCTCTATTAGAGAGATAAAAATTAAAACAACTATGAGATACCATATCATTCTAGCAACAATAACAAAGTTCAACTGGGCAGCAAACAACAAATACTGACAAGGACATGGAGAGATCAGAACTTTCATTCACTGATGGTGGGAATGTAAAATGGTACAATTACTATAGAAGGTAGTCTGGAGCTTTCTCAAAAAGTTGCTAATAGAAATACCAGTTGACCCAGCTATCCCACTACAGGGAATATACCCTAAATAGGCCAGAGTCGTGGTACAAACAGATGTATGTACACCTGTGTTTATTGCTGTCAATTCATTTCACAAAGAATCTTCCTCTCTTGTGCTGATCATCTACCTTTCCAAGCAAGATGTCCTTCTCCCAAGACTAGCACATTCTGAAAACTTACCCAAAGTAAGTGAGATGAAGTCTCATCATCCTTACCTTCAAGGAGCACACTAGTTTCACTTTCTTCAGGACAGACTTGTTTCCTTGACAGTCCATTCCTCAGAGTACAAAAGAGTACAATGTTCTTTTCCAGCACCACAACTCAAAGGCGTCAACCCTTTTACTGTCATCCTTTGTTACTGTCCAGCTCTCACATGCATAGCAACCAACTGAGAAGACTACGGCTTGAATCAGTTTCCCCTTAGTCTTTAGACTGACAAAGTTGCTCTTTAGCACTCTGGAGAGGTCTTTGAACGCAGATTTTCCCAATTAAAATCATCTTTTGATCTGTTTTGATTGCCTGACTGTCGGTGTCAAAAGTGCTGATTGTTAATCCAAATAAGATGAAATCATTAACAACTTCAACCCTTTATTTATCACTGGGCCTACTAGTCCAACAGAGAAGATATGAGACAAGAAATTCTGCAGTAATAGTAACAGAAAATTGTTGATACACAGGTATCTATGTAAGGTAAGTGTAAGATAGCATATGGAAGTACATCCATGAAAGAGAGAGAGAGACAGAGAAGGAGAGAGAGTGAGTTTGTGTGTGTAAGAAAGAGAGAGAGAGTGAGAGTGAGTGTGAGTGTGTGTGTGTGTGTGTGTGTGTGTATCTCTCTCACTCAATCACATTGCCATCAAGTTGGAACTGACTCATAGCTGAACTGGAACCCTCCAGCAGGTCTTAGAAGCTGTAAATTGCAAAGGAAAAGATTGCCCATCTTTGAGCCTCAGAGCTACTAGTGGATTTGAACCACCAGAGAGATGTCACCTTTGGATTATCAGCACAACTCTTTATGGACAAAGCTACCAGTGTGCCCTACAGAAAAAATGAATTTTGAGAGTATTATCTCAGTGTTATTATATCAGAAAGCCAGAAAGAATTTTTATTCTCAGGTTTTGGAAATATAAATGTTATTAAAAGTACTTAAAATTTAGTTACATTTTTTTAAGATAACATTGTTATTAAGTGCTTTCAAGTCAGAACTAATTCAAAGTTGATGCCTCAGCCAGTTTCCAGAGGTAGCAAATCACACAGGAGGAGAAATGTCCTTCTTTCTCCTATGGAGTAACTGGTGGACTGGAACCACACTCATAATTGTTCTCTGTTGGGTTTCTAAGGCTATTAATCAGAACTGAAAATAACTCATCTTCTCTCTCAGAGGCACTGGTGGAGTCTAGCCTAGAGAGTTGATTTGGCAGTGGGGTTCCCTATTAACCCTAAATGGGCACAAACAACTCATAGCTGACCCTTTTGGTAGTTATAATGTACTCTTTCTAAATATGTTTAGGGAATTGAAAAATTAACATTTCAGTAAGGATTCAAAAATAATTAAAAATTTCTAAAAATATTAACCTAAGGAAAAAGTACTCACTTTTTGCCATTTAAGTTCTTGCATCTCCACAATAATTTTACCAATATGCTCTTCATATTGTGTTTCTGCTTCCTGGTTAAAAAGAAAAATGAAAATTATATGATGTGAAAAATAAATTAAAACTCTTAAGACTTAAACAATTTCAGCTCTTTCCGGTTAATGTTGGTATGTCAAATCAATCCAGACTCATGGTGACTACCTGTGCGGAAAGCAGAACTGCTCCACAGAGACTTCAATGCTGTGACTTTCCCACAGGAATCTCCAACCTTATCTTTGAAGGCATTTTTGGGAGGGTCTGAACCATCAGACATTTGAATAGTAGTCAAGTGCTTAACTGGTGCACCACTGAAGGACTCTACTAGATATTACTAGAGATAGAAAAAGCAGTCTTTCTACCATTTTAAGAACATTTTCAAACAGATAAATTAATAATAGCAAATTTATAACTTCCTCTGAATTAATCAGAAAAATGAGGTCACAGGTCAAGCACCAAGAGGAGTCAAGTTCAATTAGAAAGGAAACAGCTGGCTTGTTAATGAAGTAATATGGGGTAAACAGCATTAAGCAGTATCTCAATGCCCTTTAAATTATTATGCTATACGTGGAATCACAGTGAATTTACCTCACAAACTTTGGGAGTGTTACTAAGCGGGTCTATTCTTTGGAAAGGGACTTGATGATGGGAAGGGTGATGGACTGGCGAAGGAGAGGAAGACTATCAACCAGGTGGACTGACATGGTGACTGCCACAAGGGGCACTTGTGTGTCAGGAAGTGTAAGGATGGCACAGGACAGAACAGGATTCAAATCTTTTATTCATATGGTCGCTAATAGTTATACTCAGCTCAATGATACCTACCGATGACAACAACAACATGGGTGGAATCATATTCTTTTATAATTATTATGATTTCTGAAAAAAAATGTATAAACTACAGAAAATGTATTAAATAGGTATTAATCACATAACCCAATACTAGCACTGTAACATGTTTCTACATTACTAAAATTTTAAGTCAACATCATGCTTTGTATTAAAAGTGATAATTTTAACTTTAATGAGCACTTTTCCTTTTTTCTCCATTCTTTTAGCGCCTTTTAAAAATGAATAAAAATGTTTATTAAGTCATTATAAAGTAAAAAAGATACTAAATTTAGTGAGAAAATCCAATCTGTAACTAATAAAGTAGAATATAGAATCTTAAAAGTGCCTTTTTTTATTAAATGCCTTAGGACTACAAGAATTTAAGTGTTTTATATATAAACAATAAATGAGGAGTAATTTGATGGTTTATATACTCTTTATAACCTTTAGAAAGTATCATCCTTTTTAAAAATGTTTGCTTCAGGCTGTGGTTTTACAAGACAGGCTATACATTGGTCAGGCCTCTTCAATCCTTGACGTGAACAGATTTAGGAACACTGTACGCAGCAGGCACATGCCGAAGCAGCCAAAACTGTTATTGAGTACTTTTACTCTCCTTTTCAAACTCATAATCTTTCTACAAAACTATACAATTCAGTTTCTCTTACCACCCAATAAAATAGAAATCATGCTTCCAAATAGTTTCTTGAACTGATTAGTTACAAAGACAGCAAAATAAGAATCTCTAATATGCATTGATAACATACAAGTGCAAAAAATAATGGGCCAATGTAAAGCATAAAATTAGACTCTAGTCTTTATATATAAAACAAAATATATATGAATGATTGAATGGAATATGAATATTAATTTGCGCTATAAACTTTCATTCAAATAAAAAGTTTAAAAATGCTAGACTTAAATCCTAAACCAAAAAAATGAAATACTGAAGTCAATAAAAATTACTTTCCTAATTAAAATTTAAATTTAAAATTTAATTTTTAATGGTTTCACATTAAAAAACTTAATTTGTTAAAAAAGTTTATAATAATATCAGAACATTCATCTCCATTTTTAAATTCTTCTGTTTAAAGAGCCACAATATACCTATAAACTTAAAATAGGTATTTATTCTAAATGGTTTCAATCTGTCTATGAAGATAAAATTCAAAAGTTATGAAGGAAAGAAGAACAGTAATATAATGAAATATTAAGAAGTTCTAGAAGCAAATAATCTTGGTTCAACTCTGCTTTGTTGTTTCCCTGTTATGTGACTTACTCTCTTGCTTCCTCAGTTTGTCTATAAAATGGCTATAAAACATTACTTATCTAAAAAAATTATACCAATGATTAAATTAATCAACAAAAGTACTTAGAATCTCCTCTCGGGCATAAAGGTTCTAAGATGCACTCTGTTCACTAAGAGAAAAACATATGAGGAAGTCTATTTCAAAAAAGCAGTTATCTTTTTTATTTAATTTTTTAATTGTTGAATATTTTCTCTCCATACTTCTCCAACTTACCCCACAATGCATCCCTTGTTGAGACTGTTGTCATGCACATACTGCCCAATCATATATACACTCCTTTCAGAGAGTTCTCCCTCTCATCTGTTCTAATGCATTGTTCATTATCTATCTACTTTTCCGCCATTCTCTTCCCAACCTCTCATGTCTGTCATATTTTATAATAGCAACATTATCCAGTGTTTTTTGTCTTTCTGTGACTGAGATATTTTACTCAGCATAATGTCCTCCAGGCTCTCCCATGTTGTGTAATGTTTTTTCAAGTTCATTGTCTTTTAACGGTGCATAATATCCCATTGTGTAAATGTACCTTCATTTTTGTTTGTTTTCTATGTTTCTATAGTTTTTCTATTAGTTTGTTGATGGGAACTTGGATAGCTTCTATCTCTTTACTATTGTGAACGCAGCAGCAATAAATATGAGTGTGCATACAGCTGTTTGAGCTGTGGCTCTGGTTTCCTTAGGGCATAGTCCCAATAGCGGAATTGCTGGGTCAAATGGTATTTCTATTTCAACTTTTTGAGAAACTGCCAGCCCATCATCCATAAGAGGCTGTACCACTGAAATTCCTACCAATAGTGAATAAGAGTTCCAATCTCTCCACAACCTCATCAGCATTTGTTGTTTGCTGCTCTGTTGAATTTTGCTATTGTTTTGAAAAATCAGCATCTTAAACAGCTGCAATCTAACTGGCTTGGGAAGAGATAATGTGTTATATGTCCATCATGTCCCCAAGCATTTTATTCCCTCTTTCAATATGATTTTTATTAGTTATTATTAGAAACTACATTCTATCACTTATTTATTATAGTGTACACTGCTATCATGCATTCCTAACTTTCTTCTATAATTGTTGCTATTATTAGGTGTCATCAAGTCGACTATGACTCATAGTGACTCTAAACAATTGAGATGAACCTTGCTGTATCATGTACTATCTTCGGGGCCAATATTATAATCACTGTGTCAATACATCTCTTCAGATTCATCCTTTTACTGACCTTTCACCTTTTCTCAGCACAACATCATTTTCCAAAAACCAATCCTTCCTGATAGCATGCCACAGTATGTGAGATGAAGTTTCACCATCCTTGTCTCCAAGGAACACCCTGGTTGTACTTCCTCTAAGACAGACTTGTTTGTTCTTTGGTAGTCCATAGTATATTTAATACTTTTCAGCAACATCATAACTCAAAGGTACTGAATCTTCTATGGTCTTGCTTAACCACTGTCCAACTTTAAGATATACAGGAAGCAACTGAAAAGACCATGGCTTGGGTCAGATGTATACTAGTTTTTAAACTAGTATCTTTGCTCTTTAGCACTTTGGAGAGGTCCTTGGCAACAAATTTTCCAAAGACAACACACCTAGATTTCTTGATGGATATTGATTATGGATTCAAGTAAAATGAAGTCCTTGACAACTTAAATATTTTATCCATCTATCTGATGTTGACTATTGGTCCAGGGGTAAGTTCTTTTGTTTTCTAGATGTTGAGATGTAATCCATACTGAAGGCTTTAGTCTTTAATCTGATAAAACAAGCATTCCAAGTCTTCTTCACTTTGGAAAAGCAAGGTTATGTCATCTGCATAGTGCAGGTTGTTGATAATCTTCCTCCAATCCTAATGCCACATTCTTCTTCATAAAGTACAGCTTTTCTTAATTATTAGGTTAGCATACATATTGAAAAGGTATAGAAAAAGGATATAACAATGGCACACATCTTTCCTGATTTTAAACCATGCAACATTTGCTTGTTCTGTTTGGAAAACTACTTCTTGGTTTGCATATAGGTTTCATATGAGTACAACTGATTGTTCTGAGCTTCTGATTCTTCTCAATGTTAGCGATCATTTGTTCTGATCCACATAGTCAACTGCCTTTGCAGAATCAAAACACAAGCATCTTTCTGGTATTCTCTGCTTTCAGCCAAGATCCACTGGACATCAATGATATCCCTGGATCCACGGTGTCTTTTGAATCCAGCTTTAATTTCTGTATGTCTGAAAGTTATCTTCTAAATAGAAGAATGTTTATTGTGTCCTCACAATTCTCTTTGCTGTCAAGTTGAAACTCACTATAGTTGATTCTCTAGTAGGTTTCCAGAAGCTGTAAACTGCATGAGAGGAGACTGTGAGCTGTCCACCTTTGTGCTGGCAGCCCCCTTCCCTACCAACTAGGCCATGAGAGCTCCTACTTACTGTGACCTAGAATTCACTATTACCAATGTGTATTGGGTACATCTTGAATGATCTTAATTGGTCATGATGGTCCAATGCACTCCTGCCAAAGAATGATCTAGAAATTGAGTATGAAACCTGTACTTGGACCAGGAGCCAGTCATCAGAACAGAGCAAGGAAGCATGGCATGGTTCAAAATTGGGAAGGGTGTAAGCCAGGAATTTGTCATATTTCCATACCTTTTCAACCTATATGCAGAGCAGATTATCTGGGAGGCTGGGCTGCATGAGAAGTGTGGCATCAGGATTGGAGGTAGACTCATCAACAATCAAAAACAATTATACAGATGACACAACCCTGCTTGCTGAAACTGAGGAGGACCTGAAGTGCTTGCTGGAGAAGATCAAGGACTGCAGCCTTCAATATGGATTGAGGCTCAATATAAAGACAAAGATTCTCATCTCTGAGCCAAATGGTAGCATCAGAATGGATGGTGA